TGAATCTTAAGTTGTCTAAACAAATAAACAGGCAGCCAGGCATGTACCATTGATAATTACAGTTCTCAGTTATTTTTTCATTTATATTCACCATCACAAAAGTTGTTCTGTCAAAAAGTATTAAGATCTTGTGATTATATGGTTATTCATATACCTTGTTATTTATATGGCACTCTAATGCCAAAAGTTTGAAATAATTACAATTTTTAAATGTTTTTGCTCACCGAGCACCAAGACTGCATTTATTTGAACAGAAATACAGTAAAAAATAGTTATATTGTGAAATATTATTATAATTTTTAAATAACTGTTTTCTATTTGAATATATTTTAAAATGTGATTTATTCCTGTGATGCAAAGTTGAGTTTTGAGCATCATTACTCCAGTCTTCAGTGTCACATGATCCTTCAGAAATCATTCTAATAAAAAATGCTGGGTTAAATACAACCCAGTGCTGGGTAAAATAGGGACAAACCCAGCAATTAGGTTGTTTTGACCCAGCGGTTGGGTTAAATGTTTAACCCAACCTCCTGGGTAGTAACCCAACCGCTGGGTCAAAACAACCCAATTGCTGGGGTTGTCCCTATTTTACCCAGCACTGGGTTGTATTTAACCCAGCATTTTTTAGAGTGTATATTTGGTGATCAATTCATCACAATAATTAGCCAAACTTGGTTGTAATGTTAAAGAAATAAAGAACGTGTTTTCAGTGCTAGAAATAGCTCACATTAATTAAAACTTCAAAACGAGAACCTAAAACACAACAGTAATTGGCGGTAAACATTAGAAATCCTTCTCAAGGTTAATAAAGTTTCAGTCAGGCCCATAAACAGACTATACTGTACATGTGGCATCATCTCATGAATATACTTTACTAGTCTCCCACTACGACCTTCAGATGAGACGCCACATGACCTCTGCAAAACATTTTACTGGCAAAATCAAATAACTCGAGAGTCGTAATAAATCATGATTCACTGGGACTGCATGACATGATAAAAAGGAGCAGATATCGCATTTGATGAAAAGGTTGTTTTATTCCCCCTGATAGCACATGGTGTAGCATGAAATGAGAGGTTATTGCTTAAATGATATTTTTCGGCTGAGCTAAGCAGTCCTCTTTAAGATTACTAACTAGTTGCATTAACTAAAGAGAGCGTCATTAGAAGGTGTTTAAGTGTATAAATGCATTCGTTTGATGATTTGATTTGATCGCTTTTGGATAAAAGTGTCTGCTAAGTGCATAAATGATGTTCAGTATAGTTCAGAACACTAGGTGCTAAATCAATGTTAAATGCAAATAATAAAATATATCTATATAATCATATGTGACCCTGGACCACAAAAGCAGTCATAAGGGTCATCTGAAAGCTGTACAAATAAACTTTCCATTGATGTATGGTTTGTTAGGATAGGACAATATTTGGCCGAGATACAACTATTTGAAAATCTGGAATCTGAGGGTGCAAAAAAAAAATCAAAATATTGAGAAAATCGCCTTTAAAGTTGTCCACATGAAGTTCTTAGCAATGCATATTACTAATCAAAAATTAAGTTTTAATATATTTACAGTAGGAAATGTACAAAATATCTTCATGGAGCATGATCTTTACTTAATATCCTAATGATTTTTGGCATAAAAGAAAAATCAATCATTTTGACCCATACAATGTATTTTTGGCTATTGCTACAAATAATAAACTGGGTTATTTAAAGGAATGGTTCACCTAAAAATAAATCTACTCACCCTCAGGCCATCCAAGATGTAGATGAGTTTGTTTCTTCATGGAAACAGATTAGGAGGAATGTAGCATTACTTCACACACCAGTGGATCCTCTGCAGTGAATGGGTGCCGTCAGAATGAGAGTCCAAACAGCTGATAAATGCATCACAATAATCCCCAAGTCATCTACATTACTCCATAATCCATTATAACACTTTCTCCAATTATAAAAGTCTCCTGTATTGATGTATTAGAACGATTCTGGACTGTTTTTCTTGTAAACAGTGCTTTATCTGTGCATATTTCTCACCGGATTCCGATTAGATGACTTTTTCACTGGAGAAAGCAATAACCTTGAACCTTAACCGTTAAGATTTTCACTTCACAAGATGTTAATTGATGGACTGGAGTGATGTGGATTACTTGTGGATTACTGTGATGTTTTTATCAGCTGTTTGGACTCTCATTCTGACGGCACCCATTCACTGCAGAGGATCCATTGCTGAGCAAGTGATGTAATGCTAAATTTCTTCAAATCTGTTCTGATAAAGAAACAAACTAGACATCTTGAATGGCCAGAGAGTGAATAATTTTTCAGCAAAATTCCTTTTTTTGGTTGAACTATTCCTTTAACGTTTGAAAAGGGAGGCTTTTTTTGTTGTAGTATCACACAAGCTGGGTGTCAAATCAAACGTTGCTTGTCATTTGTTAGTTGCAAGTCAAATGAAGCTAATGCCAACATAAACAGATTGCGTGACGTTCTCAAACTTGAAAACTGTAAAATTAATACACTTCAGAGTTTTTGATTTCAGTGGGTGCTTTTGTATGACAGACACTTCTTTTTTGTAAGCAAAACTAGTCACAACTCAACATGATTGAACTTGAATCACATGATTAATACATTTCAGAGTTTGATTTTAAGCACATCTTGTGTACTTTCTCATGAAAAACACTTCTTTTTTTTTTCCTAGGGAAAACCAGTCACAACTCAACACGATTGAACTTGGGAATCTGAATCACGTGAGTATAAACAAAAACTTGTTTATAAATCGGATTCCACAATGAAACCAGTGGTCCTCCGTCCAAACGCACCCATGCAATGTTGTCCTTTAGGAATCAAATTTCCAGTTTTTGGGATGTGACCGTGTTTTGCTCTGATGAGGTTTATGTTTGCAAGGAAAAACCACTCTCTTTCATCAGCCCCGGAAGTTTCCTCCCACATACTTCTCCATTTTCTTGCATTTTCCAACCTGTCTTGTCGGGCCCGCTGCATGTGCACAGCGGCACCGAGCAGCACCATCCTCCAAAACCCCGATGTGGTCGAGGAACCAAGGACTACGGCTGCTGGGCTCAAGTGGCTTCAATTACAGATGCTCACAATTACAGAGGAAAAGAACAGGGTTGGGCAGAACGTGCCAAGCACAAACACTGCCTGGATCACAGGAGGAGAAGGAGGGGGAGAGCAGGGAAGTCAAACGTTACCATCCCACCCAACCGCCGTCGGGTTATTTTGGGATCTCGGTAGTTTCGGCATTTAGATACTAACTGGATTTTAGTCGCTGTACTTATTGGTTAGGACTAGATTTAAACTTCGTCTTCGCATCTGAGATTTGAGACTTCTTTTTCTGGGAACTACTTGAAATTTCCCCTCTGGAGTCAGAGGTTGTAAAACGCATATTAGTGAAGTCATTCTGAAGACTATTAGCTCTTACGATTGAAATGCCATAGGCATGGATTTGTAGATTTGCTGTGTTTACATGAGACGATTTTGGTGTTTGTTTACCGTGGAGTGTCGTTTTCCCTAAACAGCCATTTACTGGGCCACATGACTTGAATAACTGGATTGCGTGGCTATTTGCTCGCAGATTACATCAAACTTCATTAAAAGCAAACAGCAAAGGACAGATCCGCTGCCTGCGCAAGTCAAAAAATAACACTCTGAACCACATCATAAGACACCCAGAATGCATTTGCTTAGCGTGACTCTATTCTGACCTCTGCCACGTGACCTCTGTGAAATATTTTACTTGCAGAATCAAAGAGTCGTAGAAGATCAAAGAGCAAATCTGATGCTTGAGCACTTCTGACCTGGTTAGGAGCTCCCAGAAGAATGTTTTAATACTCAGATGATGCTTTTTTATAGCTCAGGAGGCTTGTTGGAGGTCTCCGTTACGCTTCATTGAGGTATCAGCTTTTGTCTCAGAAGCTCCTGAAAGACACATTCTCGCACAGCTCAGATCATTTGGCTTCAGGATCATGTCGTTCATTGTTGAACTTTTGATCGCAGACTGGCACATCTGAGCACAGTTTGAGACATTCTTAAGCTCTTTTGAAACTCTAGAGAAAACTTGTTCTCTATTTAATCTTGCTGCTGTTATTTTGATTCTCTTTCGGGAAAATTCCTATATACTATATAATAAATAAATGTTAAAATGTGCAAAAAATAGCTGAAATATATTTACATAAATATATTTCTGCCAATATATTTGGCATATATTTAAAATATATTTTGGCCAGAAAAAATGCCATATGGGTACACACACAAAAATAAAATTATATTGCTATATGTAATGCGACACTAAAAAGAGGGACCTTTTAATTCTAGATTGCATTTGATTAGTTAAAAATTTGTATACGCTGGTAAGTGTGACATTAATCAATAGTTTTGATTCGTTTTTCCCATAAGAGAAGTGCATAAATGCATAAAAATGTTTAGTCAACTTTTGGGAGAACGCTAGCATTTAGATGACTTTAAAACTAATAAACATTGACTCAAAACCACAAAAGTCCCAATTTGATTTCATAAGAACAGAACTGGGAAGTGAAATTAATCTTTTCAGGGTGATATCTTCCTTTTTGGGTGATATATGCATTTTTGTTGACTGGAAGATCTGTATTTATTAGCCAAAGATGCAACTAATTTCTCATCTCCCAGCATCATGACCTTAATTGTTGTAATCCAGACATATCCGTCTGTTTTTACAGTCTACTCAACATCTGGGTTGCTAGAGAATCCTAGATGAAGGGCGGGATGATGCCATTCATTATGACAGGGATGATTGACAACAACACTGTAAAACATTTACGCTGTCCTTAAATTATGATAAGACATTCTGCTCTTTCTTAACAATAAATTATAATAAAACTCAATCATTGTGTGACTGAGTTATTCTAAGTCCATTCAAAACATATACGCTTTCCATACGAGTCTCGCCGCTCCCCTACCGTCCGAATGGTACGCTCCATTTTAAAGCGATAGCTGCGACTCCACGCTTCTAAAGTAAAGCGCGACGCTTTCTTGAGGTACGGACTGGAGAATACCATGCCATCGACGCGTTGAGCGCATTTACGGCTTCATACGGGCGTTTTGCACAGGAAAATAAAGCGATATCTCCGAATCCGCCTGCGATACGCACAGAGAGGCTCTACAAAACCCAACTGTGGATGTAACTGTTGCACTTTGAACACAGGTACGAGTCATACACAAACATTCGCGCGAACGATTCATTCTGAAGCATGGCTTTATTGTAGCGAAATCGTGAATGCATGATCTGGAGATGTAACGCGTGCTGCTTTTACCACAAAAAACAACGCGATCTCTTAGATGAGAGGATAGATTGTTAAACTGCTGTATGGAAATGATCCTGATGGATGTGGTCAATAAAGCCAGCAAGAACAAAGGAGGCATTAAAAGCAGTGTTTAGCTAAAAGGAGGTAAAAATCCGTGCATGTGTGTTGTGCATTAAGAAATGCATTAAAATGACTTGACTGTTTTTTAGTAGCCAATACACAATGGATAATTATTCCATTCTTGCCTGTTGGTGGCTGTGCATGGATCTAACACATGCATATTGACATTTCAGAGGGAAAGTTGCTTTGGATAAACAGTACAGACCACAATCAGGGGTCGTAATTAAAGAAAAAGAAAAAAACAATGTTATAGTTCATTAACACAGGCAGATTAAATAGATACTCAGAAAAAAAGGTGATATCATGCACTCAATCTGTTTGTCTGTCACATCTGTAACAGTCACATGACTAAAATATTGTTTTCCTCTAGGCAAATGACCCAAATGGTGTTCCTCCCATTAAAGCCTAAACTAAAAATCAAATGTATTGCTTCATTTGCACATTGATTTCGTTTATTTCCTTGCATGGGTAATTGATGCGTTGAGATCCCCGCGATAAGATGCAATTGATGCGTTTGTACCAAATCTGATCATTCAAATCCTTGGGTGCCAGTTTGATCCATGTCTGGGTGGAGAGGAGAGGGGCTGTGGCTGCCTGCAGTAGCCGGATCAGGGATGCTCTAACCCGGACTGAGATTAGTACGAGCTCCGCTGGAGGATGTTCGGTGCTGTGGAGGAGGGAACCGAGCAAAACGCGTTTTACACATAACCGAAAACAATCTGTAATATCCGATCTCTATATCGGAATATATGCTTTGGGGAAAGGATAGACGATCTGCATGGGGAAATGAAATTAAAATAAGAGCTTGATCTAAAGCTATATATTAAATAATACATAGGGTTTGTATGGAATTTAAGTTGTAACATTAATATTAATAATAATAATAATAAATTACTATTATCAATTATTATTTTATTAAATATTCTTATAAAATTTTATACATGTATTTATATATTTAATTTATATTATTTATATATATTTATATATACGTATGTATATATACATACTGTCTGGCTAACTATCCGTCTATCTGTTCATCTCTCTCTATAA